GGAAGAAGAGTAGATCGGGTCAAGGATCATTGGGATTAGCGCATAGAACACAACAAAAGAAATGTAGGAATCAATTTTGGGCTGAATTAAGGTAGGGTTTTCTTTCTATGTTCTAAACATTGAGGCTATGACTATATATATGTAAATTTTGACTCATATTCACATAATAGTGTACATACATAATGTTTTTTATTTTCTTGAAAAATGCAGTTTGATTGGAAAAAAAACATTTGATTTATATACCATGTGTGATTTAAATACACCCAACCTATATGCAAAGTGTATAGACATGTTTGTTATCTCGAGGGGTTTCAAAGTTTCCTACACTCGTAGTAGATGTATTTGGTTCCTTGCAGGATTCCCACTATTCGTTCCCGTTGATCGAGACAGAGGGGTAGTAGATGTGTTTGGTGTATTGCGAGGTTCCAAGGGTTCTTACTATGCCTTAGGAGAATTGGCTAGATATTAATGCGTCAATATCGGTCCTTCCTAAAAGCCCTCTAGGTATTAGTATGATTTATGATTGTGACGTTGTGGACTTGATATATTTCGGTGTGTTGAATTTTTACTAATCAAACTGCTTATCTTCTTATTCATATTACTTGGTTTATTCAACTTCATGCATGGCAACATGACGTCATCAATACTTAAATGTTTTGATTCAGAAGTTATGTATGTATTTTGGAAACTATGACCTGTTATACATTTTATAAATCTTGTTTAATCTTTGGAAAATTTTCTCTATTGAGCTAGTTATGCTCATCCCTATATTTAACATATTTCACTTTTGAATTTGAAGAATGAGATAGGGTTGGATACTAACTTTGTGGTGGACCCTAGTATTGATCAGGAAATAGATTAGGAAGCTGATGCTTGAGGAGTTGATGTTTACTTAGTTTATGAAATGTTTTATTATCTAAATTTATGATTTTAGTTAATTTAGCAGAACTTACTATTTTATTGGTTGAATGTAGACTGGTGGAGTTATGTTTTGAAGTTTTAGTTAGATGAATTCATTATCTATTTGAGTTTTGACTGAAAGCATGATTTAATCTCCTAAATGGAAGGATGCTATTTTGTTTCAGTTAGTGTTAAATGCTCTCTGTTTGATTATTTATATAATAAAATAGTTAGGTATCTGAAATTTTATCTTAAACATATTTTTTCCCTCAAAACTATCAGATCACTTATTTTCATTACATGTTTAATCACTTAATATTTGATTAATTTGTAGTTTAACATAATTTTTATTTCAGACATTATCCATACATGATAATATATATATGTTGACAAAATTTATCGAATTACGTATTTTTGTAGATATATTTTAAAAAATAATAAGTAAAAATAAATTTTACATGATGTAATCAAATAAATGAAGGAAAGAAAAATTATTATTTAATATAGTGGGATCAATTTTTTAGACGCTCAAATTTTATGTTTTATCGTGCCTTTAGACACAAGTTATGACTAGTAGCTCAATATTTTTAAAGTTAAGCGCTAATCTCAACTTGCACCTTGAAAGTTCACTTGAATTTTAATTTACATCCTCAAAATTTAAAAATATCAATTTACACTCTAAAAGACAAATTCGTATTAATGTGCACCTGAGATTAACTGTTATCCATTTTACAGTTAAAAAAGTTTAAACTAATTATAAATTGCACTTTTAAAGTTTAAATATTTCATATTTATAATCCAAAAAGGATTTCTTCCATTAATGCTCGTTAAATAGCTCTGAATTTTATCGTGTCATAATATTTTTGTATCACGTTAGAGTCAATAAAAAAAACTATTTTTAAATTTTTAAAAAATATATAAAATACATATTTTTTGCTTACAATATTTGTTAAATAGTCATTTTCTATATTCAGTTAGATATGAATAACACAATTATAAACAGAAAATAACTATTTAATGAGTATTGTAGGTAAAAAAATATGTATTTTATAATTTTTAAAAAATATTAAAAATTTATAAATTGTCGTAAATGTGAAATATACGACACAACGCAATTGACTCAACACAAAAATATTTTGTGTTAAAAATATTTTTCTATCGACTCGAACACATCACAAAAATGATACGATATAATACAACACAATTGAGAGGTATTTAACGAGTATTAATGGATGAATTTTTTTTAATCATAAACGTGAAATATTTAAACTTTGAATGTGTAATTTATAATTATCCCAAACTTTTTTTAACAACAAAATGGATGACAATTAACTCTAGGTATACATTGATATAAATTTATGTCTTTCAGGGTGTAAATTAATAATTTTAAACTTTGAGGGTATAAATTAAAATTCAAATAATCTTTTAGGGTACAAGTTGAGATTAACCCTTATTATAAACTTATGCAGATTTTTTTTTTTCTAAAGAATTGAGTTTTGTTTTTATAGAAATTATTAAGTTTACTCAAACTTATTTGTGAAACGGAGGAAGTCGAGCTTTTTACCAAACCCAAGTGGTTTGAAAAAATAATTCTCAAAATGGAGCGATTTTGAAATTATTTCTTAAATCAGACAGTTTTTAAAAACTTCGATTGAATTGACATTTTTAGATTAAAAACTTTAATTCAATTGACATCTTTAAAATAAAAATATTAATCTAAAAAAATACGCTTTGAACTTAAAAACATCACTCCAATTAACGTTTTTAAAATAAAAATTTAGATTAAAAACGTCATTCCATTTCATGTTTTTAACTTCCATTCGCACATGTGTTTTCTCTTTCTTTTGGGAGAATTACACTCTAATCTTCTAAAGTTTCTCACTTAATAATTCAAACTCTAACATTTGAAATATTATATACAGATCCCTAAAATTTGTACATGTGTAGCACCTAAACACTTGCCGTCAATATCCGTTAATAAATTACACCCAGACCCCTAAAATTTGTAGGCGTATAATATTTAGATTTTTCAAATTTAAAATGTTATTTCACTCATTGTTTGATTTTTTAGTTTTATTCCAGTATATAATTATATACTAATTATAATTTATTAAGAAAAAATAAGATTTTTATTTTTTATTTTATTTTAATAAATGACATAATAAAACATAAATTTTAGCTGTAAAATTCATGTTCTATTATGAACGACTTTGACCATTTGTTTGATTTTTAAGTTTTATTCCAATAGATAATATAATTGTATAATAATTACGATTTTTTAAGAAAAAAATTAGTTTTTTACATTTTTAATTTATTTCAATAAATGATATAATAGACCATGAATTTTGGTTGTAAAATTTAAAATATTTGATATTTTATCTTTAATTAGAGTATTTTTGGTTTAAGTATAACATTTTAAACTTAAAGGTTTAAAGTATTATACACCTACAAACTTTAAGGGGTCTTGGTATAATCGACTAACGGATATATTAATGGACATTGACGGTAGGAATCTAAATGATACGCGTGTACAAATTTTAGGAAGTCTATATATAATATTTTAAATATCAATTTCTGAGTGATTAAGTGACAAACCTCATAAAGTTTGAATATAATTCTCTATTTTCTTTTTTAAAAGGCATCTGCTTCCATTCAAGTTTCAATCGGCGACTATATTCAGATGGTGAACAAACGTCAATTTTTCAGACGTTTTTGAGTTGCAACACTTTTTTATTTTTTGTTTCATTAGAGTGACAATTTTTTAAAAAACGTCGGTTCAATTGACCTTTTTAAAAAAAAATTGCACGTCTAAGGAATTCAAAAAATGACATCGCAAACGTCAATTAGACTAATGTTTTTAAAAACTATCTGGGTTTGTGAAATAGTTTCAAAATGCCCCATTTTGAGAATTATTTTTTCAAACTACTTAGGTTTAGTAAAAAGTTCGGAGGTAGTCTTTTGAATTAAATAATTTTTTTACATCACATCTTTTTATAAAATTTGGGGCTTGGCAAAAATTAATATCTTACTTAATTTAATTATTTAATTAATTCATATTTTAAATAAATTTAATAAAAAAATTATTATTTAATTTAATCTGGTGCAATGGAGATGGTGCATTGTTAGTTGTTAGAAGTTTATATTGTAAAAGAATCTCCATGTTATTTCTGAAATGTGGAGGGGTGTCCGATGAATTACGTTGTCAAGTATAGCGAGCCCGTGTCATTTGACCGTATGTGCGTGGTCATGTGACTCATATTACAATGGCAACGCCGACACAGACCACCTCTACGACCTACTATTCTCCCTCGCAAGGGGTCACTCTCTCACTATCTTTGAATCTCACTATAGCCACCCACCGCCATTCACAAAATTCCGCATTCCTCTTACACTGTTCATGGGTCACTGTGGATTTCCTGGTTTTTCTTTACCGCAAATTTCAGGGGTTATTTCACTGTAAATTCGTAGTTTTGGTTAATTTTGGTGGATTGGTTGTGGAGTTCGTAGGTTTTTTCGATTCAATTTGCTGGCGGTGGCTGTTTGACTGGGGCGGTGACCACAGTGTGGTGATGGTTTGGTGATCCCGACACGTACTCGGACAGTATTGGTGATTGACGGCAGTTGACTGTGTGTTGTGTGGAGAGAGAGAGAGAGTTGTGTGGAAAAGAAGAAGGGTGTTTGGGTCCCTCGCTAAAGTTGTTCAAATAAGGAGAAAAAGGTGTTTCGAAAATTAGGGCTATTGGTGTTATTCACCTAGCTAAAACAGTTGAAGAAAAATAGTAGTAGAAGATGATAATTGAGGTCTAAACGCAATAGTGACCACAGTTTAGGGGCAGAGAGTAAGTTGCCCATAGCTATATGAGCTCTTCCTTGCTGACAGAGTCCCGTGATTATGAGAATATATGGTTGAAACCACCTGGTATGTCTGAACCCTCCGTGACTCTTTTGCTCCTTATCTATCAGTACATATACATTTACACATATGTTTCAGATGTTTCTTGTTTGGTCGGAAACTCTGTTGATGGTGTCAGGCTCTGTAGCAAGCATAGGAGCTGAGGTCCTCTGTTTAGTTTGATTGATTTATCGAATTCCATTCATCAATGGACCTTCACATGGCCTCAAAACTTATTTACACAGCAACATATGAAGCGGAAAACCCAATTGAAGTCTCGTTAAGAGAAGCTTTTCACCTTCTTGAACCCCAACTAAGACCCCCATTTTCTTTAAAAGTCCCAACTCAACCAGAGTACTTAAACCTCAACCGGGCAATTCTTTTTGGCATTTTATGTGAGTTGCATTTCGCAAAAGTTCATATTAAGCACTTACATGGCATTGTTACTGATGGGTATACTTTTTTCACGAGTCTGCTTACCAAGGTTGTTAATGAATTGTACTCAAAACTAGTTGATTCAGCCAAAATTCAGTTGATTTGGATTACTAAAGAGCTGATACATGTTGCGGCGGTAGGATTTGATGCTTTGTTAGTGGCCCTTTTGAGGCAGATTGTAGGTGGGGATTTTAGTGAAGGGAATTTGTGGTTGTGTCAAGAGTTGGTTAGTCTTTTCCTATTCGAATGGGATTGCTTATTAGAAGAAGAGCCGTTGGTTTTAGCTAGTGCTTTATATTTATTTCTTCGATTATTGGCTGATCATTATCGGATATCAGGTAACTCTAAAATAGAAGCATTGAAGCTAATGGAGATTAATTTATGTGTTCGAGTTTTCAGGGAGCAGTTCCATTTGTGTTTGAAGATTGGGAGGGATCTTATTAGGCTTTTACAAGACTTGGTTCATATACCTGAGTTTCGAGTAATATGGAAGGACTTGGTGTTAAAGCCCACGGAGTTTAGGACAAATGGGTTTGTTGATATTTTGCAGCTTTATCAGAAAAGGACCTCGAGTCGGTATCTTTTACTTCGAATAACTCCTGAAATGGAAAAGCAATTGCGGTTTTTGCTTACGCATGTGAAGTTAGGAAGCCAAAAGCGGTACCAGGTTTGGTTTATGAGGAAGATTTTTTGTGTGCCCGAGAGAGAGACCCTTGTCATCGACATTGTTCGTTTTTTATGTTGTGCACACCACCCACCTAATGAGATTATCCAATCGGATGTCATTCAGAGATGGGCTGTCATAGGTTGGTTATTGAAATCCTGTAAGAAGAATTATGTCCAAGCTAATGTGAAGCTGGCTTTGTTTTATGATTGGCTTTTCTTTGATGAAAGAGTGGATAATATTATGAACATTGAGCCTGCAATTCTATTGATGGCAAACTCTATACCTAGATACCTTGACATGACTCACACTCTTCTTGATTTTTTGTTCCTTCTAATGGACAACTATGATGTTGAGAGGAAGGGCTTAGTCGTTCAATGTGTATCATCAGCTTTTGGAGTACTAATTAGAAAAGGTGTGATTCACTCACTTGATGTTTTGACTCGCTGTGACATGCTTTCTCCTTGCCTCAAAGAGAGCCTCGGGAAATTGTTGCCAGATCTACAATTGAGTGTTTCCAAAGTGTTGCAGCCAACCCACCTCCTGTGTCATACTGTGCAACCCTTGGATTTGGGATCTCCGACGGGTGGGGAATCTCAAACTCCATTATAGGGCCAACACCATTCATCTGGAGAGGGCAGAGATTTACAGCTTCGTGCTCGGGACAAGCAATTGCTTTGACAAACAAGATAACAACAACTTGTTCGACAGAAAATACTGGTGCTCCAAATTCGATTGCAGTAACTGCAAGTGCAAAGCTAAGCCAAATGACGAACATTCTATAGCTTTACCTTTCCCTTTTTCTTTTTTTGCAATTTTACTGATAGAACTTTGTGGATTTAATTAGATATGCATACTTGACTACTTATTTTTTGATAGCACTTGAATGAGAAACAATTGAAAAAGGACAAAAGTGAAGGTGGAGAGTGGACACTCACTTTCTTCCATCATTTCTTTTTCTTTGTTGATACATAAAATGAGATTTGTGTGTGCTTGCATCTGGAGAGTTCAAGATTTTGTTCATGGTCTCTATTTCTCTATGTTGTACTTAATACTGTTTATGCTTTCAATTCCTTTTCCTAAACATGGTGTTTCAGAATGATTATGTGCTTGAACCGACTGTAGAAGAGAGGTTCAAGATCTGCTTTTATATGACAAACTATAATGAAAGGATCTATAACTTCCAGTTAGAAGGTTGTTTTGGTTTGAGATATGGTAAGCATGGTATGAACTTGCATATTGTTTTTATCTTTTTCCCATAGCTGTCAAATCTCGATCCGAATAATAGGATCCTATGATCCTAAGATCCAATTTAGGCAAATTGGTCAGAGTCTCTTGAAAAATCAATAGTTCATATAATCTTAATGGATCGAGATTAACATCTTGTAGAATCGTAGGATCTTCACCCAATTGCGATTTCACCTAAGAAACACGGAAACAGACACGGTTGTTGTATCCGATAAGACATGGACACGGGGATACAAAAAAATTCTTGAATATAAGATATGGGTATGACGAGGATACAGTTAATTAAAATAATATTATATATTTTTTTTATATAAATAACAAGATTAATAATAAGACCTAACATGATTGAGTAGTTGGTTAATATCTTACAATTTTATAATTGGACAATAGACTAATGTGTACAATTGGGCAGTGGACTAATACTAAATTGAGATGTGGGTTAATACCAAAATGAGTTGCGAGTAAATTTATTTGTCAACTAATAAATAAATTATACCAAAAAAAGAAGAAACTTATTAAAAAAAGAAATGAAGAAAAAGTCTTAGTTAAAATCGAGAGAGAGATAGAGAGAGAGAAAAGAAAAAGAAAAGGGTAGCCGAAGGCGAAAGAGAGAGAGAGAGATAGAGAAAAGAAAATTCTTCAGCTTCACCTCTTTTTGAAGCCTTCGATCATTGATCGTTGAAGTTAGGGGCGGATTTACACTGGGGGCAGTGGGGGCAACTGCCCCCAGTACAATCCTAAAATTTTTGTAGGTATGTTTGAACTATTAAAAATTTTAAGACTTTTTAATATTAAGATCTCTGGAGTAATTGAATGAAAATATTCTCTTAGATCCGATGTTAATGTTGCTTTTTGGATCTTTGAGAAGCTGTAAAAGAGTATATTCGGATCTCACGTTATTGTTGGACCTCATGGATTTTTCACTTGTTGATATGTGCATCATATCATGTCCTTTCCTAATTGGCAGTTGGGTAACAAATTGATCATATGTTTGACTGTAGAGGGGAGGTTCAAGCTCTGCTTCTACATGTGAAACTATAATGAAGGAAATGAAGATCTTTTCCTGCATGATACATGCTAATTTTTACAATCACAGTTTTTTGGATTTGCATGGTAAGCATATTATGAACTTGCATATTTTTTGAGGTCCTTTTGAGCCATTTTTTTTAGAGTAATTCAATTATTTTTAATTCAATTTATATTCCCTGTATTAAGCTATATGGTGGTGGTTTATGCCTATAAATAAATATGAAACACATTCAAATGGTTAGTGCCAGTTCTTTAGGTTATGAATCTCAAAAAAAAAAAAAAAGTTATTTGTATTATGAATCATGGCCATGTGTAAAATCATGTGTCAATTTCTAGTCTCATGTAGGTGTATGCACCAACACTGGATTTCATTCATGGATCCTAGGATCATTGTTGTTATTATTTTCTGTTTCATATTTTTTCGAGATTACTTTTTATATGCTATGTTGCTAAGGAAGTACATTCAAAATGTGTTTAATTTTACAAGTTCTACTTCTGTTGTTTGTTTTTATATGCGGTGATTTTCCTTTATTATCGTTCTTTAAGAATAGGGCCACTGCACCTGGTTCATGACAACTGGTTGTATTTCAGGCTTTGGCGTGTAACCTATTATTTATGTCGTTCTGTGTATTACACGTATCTTTTTGCAATATATTCCTTTTTGTTATATCATTACATGACAATTGTAAATTAAGTGGCTGAACCAGTTGCCGAGGAAAGGTTTAAGCTTCGTATGACGAGGCAGGTAGGATGAGCATGGTTTTACCTTGCTTCTGGTCCACGATTAGTTATTCCTTCTTTTCTTTTCTTTTCTTTTTTTTTTTTTTTTAATTTTGTGCTTTTGTTGGACACTCTGATCAAGGATTTTTCACTTGGTGATCATGTGATGGTGCTTGCTTCTTTCTTTTTGAAATGCCTTTAGAACCAACTCTCTCTCTCACTCTGGAATTGGATCAAGATTGATGATTTATTTGCACATGTAGTTGTGGTTAAGGTGCTTTGGGAACTAACGCAGCGTTTAGTAAGTGGTATGGAGTCATGGGAATAGAGTGAATGTCCACTCCTATGGTTGGTTGGCAGGAATTGAAATGCAATGCCAAGAATTACTAATCCCACAATTCATAGAACTAGGCATTACTGTGTCTAACATGGTATTACGCATTCCCAACCTAAACAGTAATAAGCTTCCATTTGGAACCAAAAAAAAAACCTAATGCCCTCTCCTCCTCCTTCAAACCCCTCTAACTCTTCTCCTCTGCTTCCCTCCCCTCCCGGTAACCCTTCCCTTGATTCCTCGTTGCTTCTCCTCTCCTTGCCTCTATGACTCCCTTCTCCCCTCACTGCTTGCCCTTGGCATTCAATCGCTGCCCTCTTCCACTCCCAACCGCTCTCTGCCCTCCCTATGAGGCAAGGGACCACATTTGCGACCAAGAACTACGTAGACTAGATAGATCCAACTATAGTGATGAGGATCATATTGGGATCAGATTTTTATTTGGGATTTATTTATTTATTTAAATGATGAGGATCGTAGTGGGATCGAATAGTTATTATTGTAGATTTATTTGGTGTTTATTTATTTATTTACACATTAGTTAGTATTTATCTTTTATGGTGTTAGTATTAGATTAGGAGTTTTGATTTATGGTTTTTGGATCCCTATATAAAGGACCTGATTTTATTATTTTTAGGTAGACTTTGATTATTAAATAATATTGAGAATTGTTTCTCTTGATTTTTCTTTCCCATCCCCTTCTTCTGATTCTCATTCCCATCCCTTATCATCTTCTTTCTTCTCATCCCCATATACCTTCTTCTTGATCTACATCAATTGGTATAGTCTATCAAAGCTATACAATCTACATCCCTTAGCCACCTATCTCAAGTAAACTTATCGCCCAATTTAGTCGCCAATCTCAGATCTTACCTTGAATTTTGGGGGTTTTGGAATCTCCTCATTTTTTGCCTGATTTTCAGGTATTTTAATTAAAATATTTATTTATGACTTTGCAAAATGTTATGGTTTGGATTAAAGGTAAATGGTTTTGCGAGTTCTGTGCATGATTTTTGGTTTTTGACAAACTATGATGATCTGGACATGGTAGTTGCTACATAGGATTGAAGTTCTGACCTTGTCTTTGAGTTGTGGAATTGTGCTTAAACTGTTGGAGGGTTGCTTGTTGGTCTATACTTGTTTGGAGTGAATTTGTGATTTACTTCTGACGTGTTTGGAGAGTATTGCATATGTTTCGTGGAGTGCAGAAAGATTTATTTATTTTTTCATTGCTTCAGTTGATGTGGAGAGACATGCCAAATATTTATGGAAGCTGCTAAAAACACTTTAGATATATTTCATTTAGTCTGAGAAGCGAGTATCAGCCTACCAAGGGAGAAAGCCTGCAAAATAAGGTGATTTTTCCCAGAAAGTAAAGCATGTTGATGTTTACCAATGGTATCAATTACCATTTGGGTGAATTTGTTAGTTATTTATTTTTACATTTATGAATGTGTGGTTGTGCATTTGAATATGTTGATCATGTTTGAAAACTAATTGGTGTACTTGTTTAAAGTGGATGTTGGTGTTGAAAATGATATACTATTAAGCAATAGCTACAATTATTTGAAATGAGATCTGAATAGGACATAGAAATTAACTGCTGCATTATCCCATAGCGTCCATAATCTTGCAGTTAGTAATGATGATTTAGCTTCTGATACATTATCACAAAAATATAATAAGATCATTGAAGTGTGATACCTGGGAATCAACAATAGTAATGGACTCTGTCTACCATCTCTTTCTAATTTATTTTTATTGCCATAATGTCATTGAGTTCAACATAAAGTGATAACTGGTGCATACCTTTTCATTGGTCAGTCTTTAGGTCGATTTTTTTTTTTCTTTGCTGGCAGAAATCTCGAAGAACTTTATTTGTTAGATGGTTCTGAGTTTGTTATAGGGATATCTATTTTTGGACATTCTTCTTCATTGATTAAATCAAACACTTTCAGGGTTCTTCTCCCCTTTTGATTCTACATTCTACTTCACTGTGTTCACTTTACTAGAATGGCTAATTTATTTGATTTCTTTTGAGGAATTCACTAGAATATGTCAATCTTAAAACACTAATATCGACGGCAACTGGTAACCAATCCCTCGGCTTGTGTTATTAACATCTTATAACTTGGGCAAAAATTTCAGAATACGATTGTATAGCTTTGGATGCTGGCACAATAGTGTACATATAGTTAAACTGCAGGTGATCAAATGAAATCTAAATATTCTATAGCAATGTATCAGCTAGTCCGGAGAAACCAACTTTCTGCCATCTCTAATTTATTAAAGTTTTTTTAAAAAAATTGTGTATCCCTTCTGTTGCTTCTTGTTATTGATCCTTGGAAGATACTTATAATTTTTATTTCGGAAGTGAGATAGCTCGTTTTTTTGTCAAATACAAACTACAATGTTACCTCCCCATGTTCCTGAAGTTTCAGCTCCCCACTCCAC